TAGGAAGTTCAACTAGCCTATTATGAATAACCCTGTTATGAATCAACCTTCAAGATAGAAGTCAGTTCTTTCTGTAATTTGAGAATAATAAAGTTGTGTTAAAGAATAATAAAGTTGTGTTAAATATGCATACTAACCAAGACACAATAGTCTGGCCTCCGAAAGCTATTTCTTTTAGGCCTGTTATACTTTATTTATATAGCAGAATTTACTAGAATGTATCAAGAGCCAAATACTCATTTTCCTTGGCCCTAAGAGTAAAATAGTATTACAGTATGTTCTTCTATATTTGTGTTAAAGTAGGTGGCCCCATTGAGTATTTTTCTCCACTAATTGTGAGAAATAAAATAATACTTACCTTTAAGAGGTTGTTATAGAAATTAAATTTTAGGCATGTGAATTTCGAAGGACAGTGTTAAAACAGCACCTGAATTCTGAAGAGGGCATAACTGTTAAACTTTAACTGCCCTTTTTTTTCATTTTGAAATCCAAATATACATATAACCACTGAATATTTTACCACCCTTTTCTTTGAACTAACAACAGTAAAGCTATTACATTGTTAATAAGTTAATATCTGGAAGACCTCTGAAGTTGCTTATATGAAAATAGAATGTATGTGCATGGTAGAACATGCTACAAAAGTGAAATGAGCTATTTGATCATCTGGAAATTAGTCCCTGTTCTTCAGTGATGTAGAAAAAAAATCACACATGCATTCAAAGAAGGTCTACTAAGGGCCTGCTGTAGGTCATGTCCCCTACATGGAGCATTGTTGTAGCTGTACAGTAACAGACGGAGATGGGGGCCTTTCTAAATTCGTCTCTCTCAAGGATAGAGAACAAACCGAGGGTTGATGGAGGGGCTGGGGAATGGGTATTAAAGATGGCAGTTGTTACGATGAGCGCTGGGTATTTTAAGTGATGAATCACTGAATTCTACTCTAGAAACCAATTTGCACTGTATGTTAACTAAAATTTAAATTAAAAAATCCTGTCTCTGGCAAAATATAATTTGCATCCACCATCTTATAACTGATACATTTCCTCTTAAAATTCTCAGTGGGAAGCAGTGCCAGTCCCCTCTACTTTGTGCTTCCCTTCAGTCTTTTTGGAATTTTTGCCTCCTTGTTGCCTTTACCCACCTCCTCTTAACTCACTGGTCCAAGGTCCTGGGAAGAGGGTACTGGGTCCTTGACATAATCAGGCCCTTTGGGAATGCTAGTCTTGCTTCCTTCAAATTTGCAGCCCATTTTAGTGGAAACATTGTTATCATTCCAATCTAAAGGAGTTTTTCCCTTAACACTGTAATCCCGAGTTTTGCCTTCCTCTGTGATCTATGTTATGGTCAGTCCCCCAAGCTTTTCTTAATATTGTTCTTTTGGAATTAACGAACACACTTTGGTGCGGGGGCTGCTGGTGTGGTGAACAGTGTCTAGCTTTCAAGGCTGGTATTTTCCCTGGAACCAGAAAACCAAGCTTTGAGATTCAAAAATGATCTTTTTGTACCTGCCCTCACTTTTCTTGGAGATTTAAGCCTCAGGGTTTAACCTTAATTGGAGGAAGGATAAACTGAAAGAAACCAGTTTCAGAATAGAGAAAAAGATATTAAGAGGTATTGAAGAACATTATCCTCTTCACTGTTAATTTCTTGAGAACTTAGAAAATAGCATTTTCATTGAATCTGAATTTTGCTGATTAACATAACCTGGAATATTATTTTGCAGTAGGCTTAAAAGCTATTAAGAGGGTCGGTCTTGAAGTGTGACCTTGGAACACGTGGAAGGGTGTCCCTGAAACCCTGTGAGGTTTCTACCAAAGGTTTTTCACTTTTTTCACTCTCATTCTTAAGAGTTTTCCAGAGACTACATGCAATATGAATATTGTGAAAGATTGAATGCAGTAGCAGGTATGAGAATTTAGGCTTTCTAGAATTTAGGCTTTCTATGAGCTAGACATTTAATAAATGTCTATAATAATAAGAATGCCACGCTCCTAAAATTCTTACGAGTTTTTAAAAACAGTGCTATTTATAGTGACGTGTAATGGGTTATTTTATTAAATAATAATTTAAAATTTCCTTAATAATTTCTAGTATAGTGAGTATCAATGTAGAATCCACTTTCAAAAGCTTCTTGGGGTCCTCAATTTTTAAGTGTAAAAAGGACCTAACGCCGAGGGAGGAGTTTGAGAACTGCTTAACTCTTAGGATTTAAAATTGTAAATAACCAGCACCTGCCTTTTTCTTTTTTTTTTTTTTTTTTTTTTTTTTTTTTTTTCTTTTTTTTTTTAAGATTTTATTTATTTATTCGACAGAGAGATATCACAAGTAGACAGAGAGGCAGGCAGAGAGAGAGAGAGAGAGAGAGAGAGAGAGAGAAGCAGGCTCCCTGCTGAGTAGAGAGCCCGATGCGGGACTCGATCCCAGGACCCTGAGATCATGACCTGAGCCGAAGGCAGCGGCTTAACCCACTGAGCCACCCAGGCACCCTGCCTTTTTCTTTTTAATAATCACAAATCTTTTTCTGAAATCTCTCACCTTATTCCTTGCTCCTGTTTCATCACAATATCTAATTTGGACAAATGAGTAAATGGTCAATGCATTTGGCAAAGTGGTTACTGTAATATACTTTTGATCTATAAAACCAGAATATATAAAGCAGAATGTATAGGATGGACATGTAACTTGAAAGTTAGTAACTCTGATGGCAAAACTTTGAGATAGCTCTGCAGAAAGAAGTCTGTAAAGCATAGTTTAAAGAAATATGCAAAACTTATTTATACTTATATCCTTTCATTTTCTCCCCAGAGATTCCTTCAGTCGGATGAGCCTGCGCAAAATGGATCTTTAAAATAAATGTACTTGTCTTACTCATTTGAAGAGAGCCATGTATTCAACACTGAGTGTGAAAAGATTTATTGAAAAACAGGACTTGGGGCTTAATTCTGGAAATTCTAGCATTAATTTACTACTCATTGAAGAATGTGGTGGCCAAAACAGTATCAAATGTAGATCACTGAGGTTTGAGAATCATGGCCATGGTTTCTCATGTTCTGGTAATATGCTGTTATCTTTTTTTAAGACTCAAAAGTAATGACTCACTATACATTTACTATTATTTATACCATAGCTAATGTTAAATTTATTTACTTTAAGTTTGTATTTTTTAATTTATATTACCATTTATAGATTCATTTTGGAACCATTTTAAATGTAGTAATGCTTATTTTAAAGGTACTATTAAATATGTGAACGTTTACACTAATTTTACTGAGACTTTAAAAATTATTATTGACAAAAGCAGAGAATCTTGAGTTGATTCAAGAACTAGTTCCAAAACTAGCAAAGTTTTAAAAATGAAAATTGACATTGTACAGGCCAAAGAGCCCAAAATTAATGAATAAATGGGTATAGATAGATATGGATAACTGGTTTGTGAAGTCTTAAAACAGGTTTCTAAGTTATTTTCCACTTACAAACAAAAAAAAAACAGAGCCAAAAACAAACAACAAAAACAACCAGGGATTTAGGATAAATTATAGAGTAACTTTACCTGATGAAACTTTTGTCTGTAACAATTAAATACTGGGATAGCTGCTACCAGTCACAGTAGCTTAAATCTTTGACTCTGAGTCTTGTTATACTGATAATATGAACTTCATGACTTTGAGCAACTAGTGAATGATTCCCGTGTTTCAAATTAAACAAGCCAGTCATTTTATGAGTTTGGTCATTTAAACTGGTAAACTAGAAATCTACTTTAGAGTTATCTTACATCACCATAAAAAGGACACCGAGAGCTGGTGTTTGATTTTAATCTACCAGTTGAATGAAAAGTTTAATTTTTTAACACCTATATAAACTTTAAAATTAGCTGTTTTAAGAACTAATTTAAAGTAACTTTGACATGAAAAACTAAGGCAAAAATCCTTTTGAAAATATTTATTGCAATTACTTTGGGCCAGGTTTATCCAAAAAACTACCTATTAATGATTTTTGGAAGTGTTTTCAATAGTTTTTTCTTTGTGTAGTAATACAGCTTATAGAAAGGCATCATTTTTAATATGTCCTTGATCTATTGACCAATGACATGAATCACTTAAAAACCGATTAAATATGGTGCCTTCATTCTGTAGTTGATATTGAACCAAGATCTCAAAAATGTCTGCTTCTCCTGAGACTATAGGGGATGGTTGATACCCTTCTGCAGCCTACCTTTATAACTGGCAGTATTATCTCAAATTCATCTTATCTACATCAATCCAAAGACTGAAGCACAAGATTTTTCAGATGAGTCAACAATGTTGGACGAAAAGGGGTAGACTGGAGTCAGAAAGGAATAATCTCAAAAACAAATTTGGGGACAGAGGATCCACATGAACAATAAGGAAATACAAGGAGTCAAGAATGGAAATTCATTAAAACAAATACAAGGTAACAAATATTCTCTCCTCTTAAGGGCAAGGGATGGGGGAGGTATATATAAAGGAGAGAATATAAAGTAATCCTTAGGTCATTACTTACTAGATTATATCATGTAAGAGCTTGGAATATGTCACATAAATCTCAGTGACAGTATCAAGAACTCTAGAATTTATATAATTGTGATTTAATTACCGTGCAATAGTTTTCTGACTTGAATAAAAACAGGCTTCCTCTGAGAACAATCGTATGATACTGAACACTTCCTTACTTTCCACATGCTTCAGTTTTCTTAAAACTTTCTCCTATCAAGAATCTATACCAATAGTTCTTGGCTCTCTCTTGAGTATGAGACCCAGGCTATATCCTGGAACTACTCCATCAGAAGCTTATGAGTAGTGTTCAGGGCTTTTGCATTTTAAAAGTTCCATTAATGATTCTTACTCTATCAGAAACTTAAAGGTAGTGTTCAGGGCTGTTTTCTTTTTAAAAGTTCCATTAGTGATTCTGAATGTAGAATGAGGTGAGAACCATGACATTTTATATCACACCATCCTGTGGAAGAACAGAAGACATGATTTAACTGTGGGACTAATTTATTAGTTGACAGGTACTCTTATTTGTTGAAATGGGGGTATAGAAGTGTTACTCTAATGGCATTATATATTCAGATTTTTTTAATGTCTTAAGCCATAAGGTAACTGATCATTTACCAATTTAATATACATTTAGAATGAAAATTTAACATTTTTGTGTGTGCACAAAGCATCATCTTTACGGATTCCATAAAGTTACGTCTACTTTAAAGGACTACTAGAATGCAGTTTTTACTATAAACTTAAATATGACAACATGGATGGACTAAGCAGTTTCTCCTATTTGAAAAATCTCTTCACCTCCAACTATCACAGTATTATTAAAGGTAATTACGCATGTTTATTCTCTTCTAGGTATGTGTGTGTATATATGCACATATTATACATACACATACATTTTCTTACAAGAACTCAGCTACAATTATTAAAAAATAGGCAAGTAAAAAAATTTGAGTTGTATACATAGTTGTTAAGCAGTTTAAATTTTATTGACCTCCCGGTTTTTAAAAAAAAGTTAAATTTAAGGTCATACCTCTAAATTTGATATACTATATATACAGATCGTGCAGAATATGACTATGAAGAGATACAAATTAGTCCATGCCCAAGAAGATTTACTAGAATACAGAATCATTTTCATAAATACATATAAAATTCTTGTGAAGATAAAAGGGGACTAGCTGTCCAGATTTTCTGAGATACTTTTCAAAGTGATTCAAGGCACAAAATATACACTACTGTGAATACACACATATTCCAGACTTTGTGCCTCTAAATACAACCCATTAAAGATTTGGCTTCATGACTTATAAAACTAAATGTACTGAATGAGATTCTGCTTCTTAGCTGAAAAACCACAAGACCTATAAACATCATATAATTACTCCAAAATATGGAGATACAAATACAAGCACTTTATTTTAAAAAGCAAACACAAAGATAGGTGTAAATTCAAAAGTGTTTAAATGCTTCCCATTTGAATAATTCAATTAAGAACCTATACAAGTTTGTTTCCAGAAGCTAATGCATCACTAGTCTCTACTATGAGAAATGAATTCTAAAAATTAACATGGTTTTCAGTAATTCAAATTTCACTATATAAAAACCTAGAGAGACCAATAATATCCAATAGCTTCAAAAGATAAGCTAGACTCTGATGTAATCAACTTTACCAGCTTTTGTCCAGGTCTGTTTAATATATACATAAGGAAAATACTCTATAATTTCTTATAAAATAGCAAATAAGGAGTAGATGTAGGAGATGTAGAAGGGGAAAGAGAATTCAGAAAGTCCTTCTCTTCTGTAACTTTTACTTCAGAATCATCAAAAAGTAACCACTTCCCCTCATACTCCTTTAAGCTTTGCACTACATATGAAATTTTGTTCTCAAATCCACTAAAGTTAATGCCTGTTTGGTCACTGGATTCCTTGTCTGTATCAAATTCATGGGTCCCATTAGTATTGTTAGTCTCAGAATTTCTATTTTCAGCAAATGCTGTACTGGCAACTTTATCAGGATTAGATGCTTTGTTGTATAGCTCATAATCTGCTTTGCTCTTTTGTCCTCCGAGAAGTCCAATAGCTTCTACATTTTTTTTGTTCAAAACTTTACTTGGCTGTGTATTTCCACTGACTCTAATTGACACTTCTTCATCATCATAATTTTCAACCACACCCCTTGCTTCCTCCTCATTCAGTGGTTCTGGCTTACCTATTTCACACATTTGGTCGATCACAAAATTTCCCTTATCTAGCTCTAAACTGTTAAGGTCGGTGACTTTAACAGAAGCAGTGTAATGCCCACTACTGATGGTAATGCCACTGTGCATCACAACTGCAAATAATCCATAGCTGTCGTTGGTTGGCTTTGTGCTCCATTCTTCTAGTGACAGTTTAAGAGGTGTCAGTAAAGGAGTGTTGATCTTGGAAAGTCCACCACCGTAACAATCAAACCTTTGGAAGGAAAGAAAAAAAAAAGTTTTCTGTAATTCCACTTTATATATATTCAGTTTTACCCCCAAATGTGAAACCAAGTAGATGTCTGAATGGCCCTTAATATTTAGTGCTTATACAAACATAAAAACCAGACTCTAATTTTTTATAGTTAAATGTACACAAAGAAAAACTGAAATGAGTGCTAATATTCAGCTCTTTCTGTGAAGGATATAAGGCATTCTCCCTTTCATATTCTTTACTTTTCTAATTTTGTACAATGAGAAAATCAGTTTTTTAAATGCCATTTTAACTTTAAAATCCTTTATAGTTTAGTAAGTAATTTTAATATGGAGGCTTTCACTACCAAAATTTGGAAACAAAAATAAATAGTAGCAAAGAAATTATCCACAGAAAGAAGGCACTAAGTGTCATCTTCAGGCATAATAAAGTGTGTAGAGAGTTAGTAGGCAGCTCTCATAATTTCAAACAATTCATTAACATGTATATATGTCATGAAGATACTTAGATTTTCAACAAGAAGAGAATCTCTCATTCTTGAAAGAACTAGTTTGACTCCTGGCTTACCTTGAAAATGAAACTATCTTGCCTTTTCCTCCCCTCAAAAAAAAAAAAAAACTTAATGTTATATAAAATCTGCTGCTTTAATCAATTCAACTTGAAACTGTTTGTAATAAGGAATGAAGATTAAAAGATGTGGGAAGAAATCCTAGAATATGTATTTACACCAAAAGGACTTAAAATGATGCATTTTTATAAGTTAACTCTTAAAAGCAGAACAGACTTTTCTAAGGTAGTCTTTATAAATTACTTCATTTCAGTAGTTTATATTATGCTATTACGCTTTTTTGTTACTATTATAGTATTTTGAACAAAACTTCTTATAGCAGCTCATTTTTTTCATATAGCTTTTATTTATAATACTCACTCCAAGCCACTAGCAGCAAAGCACTTCAAATGAATAGTTATAACTTCAGGCATTTTGTCAAACAAAAGACTTCGTTCGGCTTCAGTATAATGATGGCAATTTTCACAGAAATATTTATCTTCTCCTACAATCCTCTCCACTGAAGCAAACTGTGAAATTGCCCATCTCAGGGTCTTCATTTCTGTTTTTGGCTCTGGAGAAACTATATGAGAGAATTCCTTTCACTCACAAATGAAAACCTCTCAGACATTTAAAAATTAAACATGTTCCATATTCAAAATTAGCATGATTTCAATTGACTAATCCTTTTAAATGATAAAAACATTCCTTTGAATTTCAGAAACTTTTAAGTTCATCCTCAACAGTATATATATTTTTAAAATATTTATATTTGAGAAGCCAAAGTATTGAGGTGATAGGGACAGCAAAATGAGAATAACCTACTTTCTGAGTGTTAAGACATAGGCTTTAGTTCAGCTATTAATTTCTGATACCTGAACAGGTAAAGCCAGTCTTCTGATCACTTCCCAGATCCTTTCCCTACTTTTTGTTGTTTTATACTAAACAGTGGCTCAGATATGTAGCTCAAAGACTAAGATACCCAAGAGTTATTAAAGCATTTCATTTTCCCACTACACACATCAAAATAAAGATGCCAACAATTTTCCAAATGCTATTAACAAGTGAATCTATATGAGCAGAAAGACTTTATTACACCAGAGACAATTAAAAGCCAGCTCTTTTTCCCCAATAATTATACAAGCTACTATGAGACCGTGTTTTGTTGAAGAAAACTGATTACATGATCAACACAAGTCCATACAAGACTCCAATTCTGCTTACTTTCAGAACTCTCCTCTACTTTGGAAAGCTCATCTTCTTGTACTGGTACACTGATGTCCTGAAAATCTTCTCTTCTTTCTGTTAAACTTTCACATTCTAAGCAACGAGTCCTCAAAACCAGCTGACCTTGAAATAATTTCTCTACTAGCTCAAAACCAATTTGCTCTGCACCTAAAAAAAAAAGGGGGGGCAGGGGGTACTTTTCAGCATAGCCCACATAACCAATAGTTCAATTACAGCGTAAACTTGCTTATTAGCATTAAGAGGTGCCTTACTCATGAACTCTAAATTCCCTGAAAAGAAAACTATAATTCATCTTCAAAACTATGTCATTTTAATTCCCTTCCCAAAGACATTCCTATAGGAATAACCCCAAAGTACAACACTGTTGGTAAAACCCTTAACCATGTCAATACTACACATATTTGTGAGGTCTGCATGAAACTAGGTAGAAATCCAGTTTGAGTACACTATAACTACTAAAGTTCTCTAAAAATGTATTTCACTAAATGCAATTTCTCAAGTTTATTATCAAGTACTGCTTTCAGAAGGAGTTAAAATAATTCTCCATTAAAATATATCGAACTCCTTGTTTATAAAACATAAATTAACATTACCCTACATTAACATCACCTTAAGATTAATAAGATTTATACACACACATCTAAACAGTGGTTAAAACATAATTCATGTTGTTAAAATTTCCTCTTAAAACTTGAAGCAGATTTACATTGTACATGTATCTAAGAACATTACAGTTCTGCAGCTATTAATCCTCCTACCTATCAACATCTAAGAATAAATTATACTGACCTTTGTTTATGGGCTTAACTTCATTAACATTAACAGGCTTAACATTATTCCCCGGAGACTCAAGTTCACAACCATTAGTTGTGTTATCATTTTCACACTTCCCCAAGTCCTCTTCAAGATCATATTCATTTTCTTTCAACTGTCCTTTGGATCCCTGGTTGGTTGTTATTTTCCCCAGACTACAGAATTTAGAAAGAATGCTGGGTTGCTTAGCTGCAGGCTTTAACCAATTTATTTTAACTCTTGATTTCTTTTGTGAGGGTCTTGCACTTTCATTTTCAGAAACATACTTGGGGATTATTTTAGAAGGAATCTCTAATGTATCACCGGTAGCTTTCCTTTTTGATCTGGTTTGTCTCTGGTTCTCTTCCAATGACTGGTGTTCCTTGGATACTTTAACTTTCTTCTTCATGTTGCCAAATTCAGTGTCATTTTTTCTTTTCCCATTTCCTTTTGCGAGTTTTTCTTTATAGTCTTCAGAATGCCTCAGGTTGTCCATCTCTATGCTGTTAATACCACTCATTTCCTCTTTCTGATGAGGTTTTTCTTCTACCTTAGTAGATAATTCTACCACATTTTTTACTTCTTCTTTTTTTAGGAGTTGGCATGTTTCTTGAATGTTTCCCAAAATACATTGTAATACTTCCTGTGCATCATGCTGTAGATATCCTTCATACATAGGGTTGAGTTCCCTATAAATAAAAATTTCCATTTCATCTATTCTAGTTTTAAAGATAGAATACAAAAACCCTTTCTATAGAGAAATTAATTCCTTTAGAGGGATATCAAATTATCTTTAAAATCTTACCTTTTATTCAACTAATTTGAAACTTACCTAAACTTATAAAAGTAAAAATAAATTTTACCACAAATACTTTTATCTTCTTCTAAATACTAGTAACAGCTAGTATACATATAGTTTACCATATAGCAGGTTTTACTCAAAATGTTTATGTTAGATATATAAAACCTAATTCTAACAATAATCCTATAAGGTAAGTACTACTATCACCCTGATTCAGATAAAGTAGCTTGCTCAAAGCCAGGATTCAACCCTGCTCTTGGCCAGCATGCTATACTACCCTGCTCATCAGCAAACACAGAACACTATATTTACGCCCTGGTTTTTGTTTTTTTGTTTGTTTTTTTTTTTTTTTTACTCACACACCCAACACAAAGCTCAAACTCAAAACCCCTAGAGTACAAGATGCCTGCTCTACCAACTAAGCCAGCCAGGTAGGTGCCCCACCCTAGGTCTATTCTTAAACTAAAGATTTACCCTAAAACATACAGATAAAAATATTTTATATACTGGATAAAGTTTCACTTAAGACAGTACAAAGAGGGATGTCTGGGTGGCTTAGTCGATTAAGCATCTGCCTTCCATTCATCAAGCCCCACACTGGGTTCTCTGCTCAGCTGGGAGGCTTCCTCTTCCTCTCTCCCTGCTCATGGTCTCTCTTTCTTAAACAAACAAAAAAGAAATCTAATCCAGTTAATAGTTCTGCAAGTCCATACAACAAAACTGGATACTTGCAATTTACAGTTCTTATGCATAATATATTCTGAATAAAAACCTTTAATTCCTAATCTGAAATTTCTTAGGACCAAATATATTTGAGAAATCCAGTAGTTTTCAGATCAAAAATATAGCACTTAAAGATTTTTCACCAACATGACAGGACAGTATCCCATAATTAAACTACTATTTCTACAGAAAAATGTATGAATATTCACTTTATAAATAAGAATAAAGACTATAAAAAGCCTCCTACCGATTCAGATCTAATGACTTTATTTATACCAAACTTACCAAAGGAATGTCTAATCTCCAGAGCCTCTGAGATACTAGGGAGTAGATCTGTAGTTTCTGTTTTCCTTGCCCTTTATTCCCTCATGTATCACTCTCCTCCAAAGAGAGCAATAAGTTGCTAACATGGAATCCTAAAGTTTTATTAAAGGCTATACCTGAGTGTGTTAAGCAGTCGCCTTGGCTGAGTAGCAAGTTCATCAGTGTATTTATCTGGATTTAAGAGAAAGCTAGCCTGAAGCTGTTCAACTGAAATGATCAAGGACTGTAAGCTGCATATTAGTTCATAACTTGCCAAAGAATCTTCTTTGCAATTTCCCTGTCAAAAAAGAAAGCCACAAGCCATTAAACAAATTAAGTTTGTTCCCCCTTCTTTTTCTCACTAGCCAATATTAGCTTTGCTAAATTTCATTATTAACACTAATTTTGCAGAGGTATACAAATAAATTAAAAATTTTTAAGAGTATTTTTTGATTACTTTGTTTGGAAGAGAATGGTTTTCTGATTGACTAAGTCCAAGGCTTCTTTATATTTACATAAATTTTAAAAGTGACTACTTGAAAACAGTAGGTTAAGTAGCAGATGGTACAATGGTATGATAAACTGTTGACTGTGGCATATAAATGACAGTGTTTATGCCTAAGCAATAACTAGAGGGCAGGAGAAAACATTGTAAAAGGTGATAATGTAGTTAGCTAACCTACAAGAATGGGGGGAAAAGCCTTTCTGAAAACAAAGGATACTGAGAAATTTATTTCTCAGTTATCCTCCTCCCAAATCTTCTCTGGATCTATTACTTTTTCATTTCTAAGCAAGTGAATTTCCACTACTTTACTTTTCATATATTCTTTTTTTACCTTATCTTTTTGATTGGTTTCATCTTTTAGGGCTTCTTTCTTCCTTGAAATAATGTTAAATAAGTGCTTCACTCCAGATTTAAAACCAGGACAAAAATATAATACCTATAAAAAACAAGAATGTCTGAGTGTTTATCTGCATTTTTGGTAGAGCACTTTTAAATGTGCATTAGTTAAAATTCTGAGATTAACATATCAAAAATTGTTTTCTATTTCATCATTGTAGCCAGCTGTCTACCCTCGCTGGCATCAAAGCACTGAGGCTGGGCACATACTACTAAGACTTATGGTTATAGGGTACAACATAAAGCAGAGTTCCAAAGGTTAAAATTTTTATCACCAGAGCACTAGGAATCAAGCACAAAAACTAAGGCTTTGGCATCTTCCAAGTAACCAAAGTCAATTCAATTTTGTTATCCCAATTTCATCTAATGTATTACTTTCTCTCACCCCAAAGGAAGCTGGTAACATACAATTTAGAATCATTACTTTAACCCATTCCAGTTTATTTACAATCAAAGGCAAAGACATGGACAATTAAAATACTCCCAATAATCTGAAATTCTCAGAACATTAAATATGACATCATGCTTTGCCTACTAAAGCTTTATTATAGAGCAAAACCATCAATTTACCTGAAGTATACTATTAAGATAACAAGTATTGCCGAGATTATTCAGTCCCACAAATGGTAACAAGTTTTCTCTCTTCTCACAGTTTACAGGTGAGGACTGTGCTGCAGGAACAACTTGATCACTATTAAGTATAGAGCAGAGAAAGGTTTTATGAAGTGTAGTATCTTAAACAGAATGGAAATAATACCTGCTTAGATTTAGTCTTTTCCCAAAAGTTGGATGAGCTGAAAAGCACGTGGACTTTATTCAGTTGACACTTGAGGAGAAAAAATCTGTACAGGTGCAAATACTGCTACCTACCCAGAATAAAAGTTTTACAAGCACTTTAAAAAATATCATACACAACAAGCCTCTAAAGGATTCCATCATGAAGCTGTTAATCCCATTTCAGAGAGTAGAAAAGTGAATTTGGTACTGTGATTAATGAACCCTACATGACATTTTTAAAAGTAGTCTAACTCTTGGGAGCCTGGGTGGCTCAGTCGTTAAGCATCACCCTTCAGCTCAGGTCATGGTCCCAGGGCCCCGCTAAGCAGGAAGCCTGCTTCTCCCTCTCCCATTCCCCTGCTTGTGTTCCCTCTCTCGCTGTGTCTCTCCGTCAAATAAATAAAATCTTAAAAAAAATAAAAAGACTAGTCTAACTCTCAATAAAAACCTGGGAATAAGCTATGACCGTATCTAGGAGAGGCAGTATACCTAAATGAGGTTCTGTTAACAAAATTAAAAGGTAAGGGTCTATTAAAGAGAATCACACAGTTGTCCTTCACTTTAAAACGAATTGTTCAAGTTTCTAATTCTTTAACCTCACTTTAACAAATAGTAGGTCCTCACAGCATTTTTATTTATTTTACAGTTGCTGTTTACTACTCTAGCCCCTCAAAGTGTTTTAAACATAAGAGTCAACACATCCCCTAAACTGATTACTGGTAAATATTAGGAAATTACACAAGACCAAATCCAGTTTAGTCATATAGCAGTACACCTATTTGTTGAATAATGACCTAGTATAGACTACAACTAGAACAATGGTATTAAAGTATTCCATTTTGTTAAGATCTCAGTCACTGAAGGATTTATTTGCATAAAGCATTTCTTACTTTTAAATTTATCTTAAACTGGCAACTGTACAACAGGTTTGATAATTCATACCTATTAGGAATGACTATAAAGTTTAGATATCTCAAGAACTGTTAAGTCTTCTGAACCCCACACACACACACACACACACACACACACACACGTATTTCTTTACCCTTTACACAGAATGTGTTATACTATAAACAAGTTTGAATTGAAAGATAATTTAGCCAACACATAGTTCTCCAAATGAATCTGATTAGCTAATATGTTTGTCTCACTACTGTGTGTTTTTGCCTTCAGAGACTATCAGGTCAGAATGTCTGGAGATATGAAAGTTCACTGCTGCTTCACTGATAATGGAATTTTTAAAATACAGAAATAGACTTAAAATAAGATACATACATTTCAGATCCTCTATATTCAGAAGCCTTTTCTTCATTTTCTTGAGACTCTGTGAAATCCAAGGCTCTCTTAGTTTCCTTTTTCTGAAAAAACTTCAAGGAAAGTCTGTTTTTCTTTGAGGGGCTACCTCTTGAAAGCCCATTACTTTCAGTAGGTATGACACCAGGCATTTTCTCTTCAAATCCCAAGGAGTTGACAAGAATTAATTTATGTAAGGATGTTGTAATCACCAATCATATCTGTTAATTGCAGAGAGAAGATTTCATTACTTTCCAGTTTATCTGCTGGAAATATTAATTTTGAAAATTTACTAAGGAATGGAACTAATTAGAACTTCACATTTGAAAACCCATTTCTTAGCCAATAAAAGGCACTCGATGCTTACTGCTTAAACGAAGGCGCTTGCCATTTGTCCGTAACTTTCCTAAACAAGAAAAAATATGAGATACTGAACTTTCATAAGTCTACTAGATTAAGCCACATCACAAAATAACCCCATTTTAGTACATCTACAGTAAAATAGTCTTGAGTAAAAAGTTAATTTTTATTTTAGCTTATTCAGAAAACACTGAGCAACAACCATCTCTAATTCTTAAGTACAAGGGGAGAAAGAGAAAGGGATGAATGGGAAGACAACAGTGCTCAGAGTGAATCAATGAGTCTTCCAAGGTCTTTTCTAGTTATATGAATACATGAAATGAATTCTTTAAAAAAGCTTCTTTAAGGTGTAATTTACACAAGTCACTATGCTGTACACCTGAAACTAATATGAAGTTATGTGTCAGCTATACTCCTAATTAAAATATAATTGCATATAAGCAAAGGCATACATCTGATGTTCAGTTATACCTAAAAACTTGAGTGAAAAGTAATAAAACATGTGTAGCTGGGATAGTGGTGTAAAGAATTGCTGCACTTTGTGCAGACCAACTTTTTACGCACTAAACACAATACATTACTGATTTTCCAAGCACTTTTTAAAAAACTATAAATTTTTTTAATGCTGCTCAGAGTAGAAAAAAATTTTTGACTTTTGCAACCTTTTTTTTTAACTTGTTAAAACTTCTGAATGAAAAAAAAACTCTAGCAGTACTTGTGATAGTTACTTTATACACCCATCCTACTTTCATTAAGATATCTGGGGGGAAATTATCTGACTGGAATATTAGAGCACAAAAGCTCGACAATGACTTTCAAATACACAGTAATAGAAGGAATAGATAACAAAATTCACTCAAACTCCATCTTTACTAATAAGCTAACAATAATAAACTAATGCTCACTAATAACCATTTCATAATAAGATCGGCTGCCACTGATCTGGGAATTTGCAACTTTGAACTCAGTAGTGAAACCACATTTTTGAGACAACTCAGAAGTAACTGGAAAGTTGACCAATTTCCCCATCCCCCCTCCAACTCAATTTACCCTCCTAGCCACTTAATGCTACTGATGGAAAGCTATCACGACGATAAACCAGCTTGCACCAAGTTGTCAGGGATCTCTAAGCATTAACGATTCTTGTCAAAGGTTTTTCTTGGGAGCCAATTCTTAGATATAATGGAAAGTGTATTCTCTAACCGGATTTAAGTACACATTAGAAAAAACTGAGGACGCAGCTGAAATAACGGATAAATCCTAAGCAATAAACCCTCCTGGCTCCCTCAAATCACTCACATTTGACATCATTGACAATGTCACATTTTTACCAGGTGCCGTATGTCACACCACTTCTTGCTCCTGGCTTTCCTTAAGTCTAAATCAAATTTCGCAGAAAACAACAAACCGAGCATTAACTGCTCTTGAAAAAATAAATGACAATATGAACATTCAGTTTCTAAATTAGTTTTAAGTTTTTCCCTTTGCAAGACGACACGACTTAATTCCAATTTTTCAGGAAAAACGTAAAACAAGGATAGCATCCTCGACAAAGGTTTAAAACACGTGGCCTTCTAAATACTTCCAGAAATACTCAAGAGTGCTCGATAAAATTTGTCAATACCCACACTGGACAACGTTGAGTGGAAACACTTGCTTCAGACCCCGCACCGGGAACACAAAAGTGGAGACTAAGCTGTGCTGCCGTGCGTGCCCGTCAGACACGGCCCGGGCCCGGCGGGAGGTTGGCCGGTGGCGGTGGAGACTCCGGCCCCCCTCGCCCGTGGAGCTGGCCTATTTACGCCCAGCCCGCACCTGCCTCCCCGAACCCCTGCGGCGGCAGGAGAGGCACCCTGCCCCCGCCACACACACACACACCGGTGCCCTTTCGGCTGGCAGCTCGGCAAGGGCGCCGCAGCCAAGTGGTCCTGGCGTCTCCCCCGCGGCGCCGACACCGGGGTCCCAGGTCAGAGCCCCTCGGGAGCCCGCCGAACTTGCCTCGGCACCCAAGCTCCGGCCCCTCCTCCCCAGGCCCTCCCTTACCTGGTCATGGCCCAAAGCGAGGTCCGCGGCGGTGACGCCCCGAGTGCAGCCGGGATGGGTGTGGGTGCGACAGGTGAGACCCTGCCCGGGGCCCCAAGGGCCCCGGACCCAAGGTAAAGCTGGCCGGATCGCCCTCCCCACAGGGGAGTGACCATTCGCTCTCAAGAGCGGGAATCCGGGCTGCCGCTCGGTCCTGCCCTGCGCCGGCACCAACTACATCCCGGGAGCGACGCCCGCCCCCACCCGCCACCGCCCCGGGATGGCAAGGAGCACCAGAAGTAGCCCCGTTGGCCCAGCGCCTGAACCGCTAGGGTCTTTCCCACTCCACCACCGAGGGGAACTTGGCGCGTTTTCCTCACTCTCAGGACCCCCGTGTTTTAGCCTCCGCCCGCGCCAGCACTGCGATTGGAGGTGGCGTCCTTCGAAAGTGCCGGTTCTAGTCGCCACGCTGCAGAGACGCGAAAGGCAGGAGCCGCCTCGCGACCGCCGCTCGCCCCCCTGGTACGCACGGGCTCGGGAACCAGCTGGAACGGTAGTTTCCCCAAGATCCTAACGGGTTCTGCAGTTTCAAACAGCGCAGGCAGCGTCACGGGCAGCTCGCGCGGGTCCTCGCCGAGGGCGCGCGCTAGGTGCTGGAGGCCTGGCTGGCGGGCTCGAGCCTCACACCCTTTTTTTTTTTTTTTTTAACCATTCGTGCGCGCGAGTTGAGGAAAAGCGTACGGGTCGGGAGACGGGACAGGGAGAGGATGGGACGGTCTCCTTCCCCGAGAAGACGACGCTAGATGCTCAAATCCACCAATCTGCGATGAGAAATCCCCAAAACCTTGCCCCTCCCACCACCACCCAGGAGGAGCCAATCACAAGTACCTAGATAAAAGGCAAGTGGGTGGGCGGAAGAAGACTGTCTAGCCAATACCAAAAAGAAGAGAGGAGAACTCCACCAATCATTGCTAGATATGCAAAGTACCCTTCAGGAGCTGCCCCCTCCTTCCGCTCTGATTGGCGTTCGAGTGCGCGCTTTCGCCGCCGACTGTTAAATCTGGCTCCGCGTTTTGTGAATCCTCGACGATGGGACGCCTCGGAGGGTGCGGTTTCCGGAGTGAGGCCCTCACAATAAGTCCCGCCCCCCTTTCTTGCGTACGCACTCGGGCGGGGTTACTAAGGGAGACTAGTTTCGGAAAATGGCTGACGGGTGTGTTAGGTGCTCGGCGCCTGTGCTTTCTGACTGGAATCGCAGTCCCGGCCGCAGGGCCCAACAGAAACCGGAGCTGCTACGGATAAGAGCAAAGTCTCAACCGTATACTGTAGCGCTGAGGCTCCTTCCTCAGCCCTTCCATGCCTCATTTTCTCCCGTTTACCCCTTCCCTTTCTCGGCCAGACAAGGAAAAGAAGAGATCATGTTTTAAGACCCAGCTCTGGCTGGGGGAGCTAGAGAGGGTTTCTGCGCGAGCCCTTATTAGGACTCAGATGCGGCAAGGCAGGCTCTACTTGGTTTTTGTTTACCTTTGTTGGTATGCTTACCTTAGTGAGGTGACCTCACAAAGCAGGTAATGCAGTTAACACAGGATAAGTTCAAATTCATTTAATCAAGCATGATTTTAGGTGCCTAGTATGGTGCCAGGCATGCATTTTTCAAGGCGCTGTGGACACGGTGTGAATGAAATACATTTCCCGCTCCACAGGAACTTTACATTCTAGAGCGGGGCGGAAGTTAAACTAAAATGATGGGAAATAATGAGTGGTAGGTAAAGGAGATTAAGAGTGGGCTGTTCTAAATACAATAGTCTGGAAAGACCTCTCAGTTGACATTTGAGCAGAGAGCTGAATGAGAGTGAAACCTGGAGGAATCTCAGGGAAGAATGGTTCAGGCAAAGAGAACAGCAAGTATAAAAAAGTCCTCAAGTTTAATGTGCTCGGTGTTTGGGACAGAAGCAGGGAAGCTAGGGTGCTTAGAGCACATTGAGTCTAGATGTGATGATTGTGGGAAATGAGGTAAATAACGTCAGCAGGGCTCATTAATCAAGCAGGGTGAGGAAATGGAACGGAAGTCATTGGATGGTTTTGAGCTGGGGAGTGGCATAATTTGTAAATTGGCTGCTTGTGGTGGATAGACGGTTGACCTTCAAAAGTGCAAGCAGAAAGGTTAGCTAGGAGACTGTTCCACATACCCAGGAAATAAATTATTTGGCTTGGAATAAGGTGGTAGCAGTGGAAATGTTGAGAACTGGTAGGATTCAGGATATAGTCTGAAGTAGAGCCAAAAGGATCCACTGATGAGTTGTAACAAGAAAGAGACAAAATGACAAGGATTATTTTTCCCCCAAAGCAACTGGATAGTGGTTGGTCCTTGCTGAAATGGGGAACATTAAGGTACTAGTGGGTTTGTTGTGAGGGTCTATTGTTCTTGCACACTAAAACTAAGATGCCTACTTTACATACAGAGAAGATGAACCAACAGATAGTTTGGAGCTGGAGGAGGGGGGGATTTGGATCAGGGGATATAAATCTATTAGGAGTTACCAAATGATATTTAAAACTACAAGACTGGAAGAAATCACCTAGAGTGGACATCTTTTTTTTTTTTTTTTTTAAAGATTCTTATTTATTTGAGAGAGCATGAGCGAGGAGAAGCAGACTCCCCATGGAGCTGGGAGCCCAATGTGAAACTCGATCCCGGAACTCCGGGATCATGACCTGGGCCGAAGGCAGTCGTTCAACCAACTGAGCCACCCAGGCGTCCCTAAAGTGGACTTGTTTATCCTAAAAACTCTGCAGGGCATTAATGACCTCTTCCCTTGCCAAGCCAAGAATCCTAAATCCAGGTAACTGCCTTGTAATTTTCTCACCTTAGAATCAATACCCTTTCCAAATACTCATTTTAAGAGTGAGACTTCAAAGCTCCTAATCACTGAATTTTTACAAAGAACAGTATGACACACACAGCAACTCTGAGCTACGTAAAGAGAAATTAATACTGCTATCACTTGGTAAAATAAGCTCAAAGCTAGGGCGTGAGCTGCTTTCAAGGGATTGAGAATTCCCTATTTGAGCGCAGAAAAGAAAGGACCACAACTCATTCTGAAGTCAGTATAATGTTGATAACCAAAATAGACAAGGACAGAACTAAAAATACAACTATAGGTCAGTCTTTGTTTGCCATTGTGTATCATGTACTGGGGTGTCTCATTCTCTAGTATTAGCAGAATCGTTGCTACTTTCAAACTCTACCAGGACAGATAACCAATTCTAGTTTCCTATTGTAATTTTCCTTATTCTCTCAACTGACTGAGCTACCCAGGCCCCCCTGTGCTTTGACTTAAAGGTACAGAAGTGTTGGGTTTTGGGGCAACTGGGTGGCTCAGTGGATTAAAGCCTCTGCCTTTGGCTCGGGTCCTGGATTCGAGCCCCGCATCAGGCTCTCTGCTCAGCAAGGAGCCCGCTTCCCCCTCTCTCTCTACCTGCCTCTCTGCCTACTTGTGATCTCTGTCAAATAAATAAATAAAATCTTTAAAAAAAAAAAAGAAGAAGAAGAAGAAGTAGTTTTGGGTTTTTCAGCCCTTCCAAATTATGGAACTCTTAATCCACTTAGATTATAGGCAGAGTTTCCCTCTTAGCAAAGCTGTATACCTTTCCATCCCTACTTGCAGACTGACTAGCTCTGGCCTGAGCTAATCAAAGAACTTTGGTGAAACTGGTGAAAATTTAAAGCCAGCAAATTAAGTTTATACCTTTTTCCAATTATTTCCCCTCGTGCCACAAATATCTTGCAACAGGACAACAAGGGTCTCTGCAGTATCCGAGTCTTTACCACACACTGCCAAGTTTCCGCTAAGCCAATACCACATTGAGGTTAAGGCGTGTTATGTGCTGTATGAGTTTATAGGGATCAAATTCTGCATCAGATAGGAATAGGTTAATCTATGAGAAGCAACATTTTTTAAGCATCCTTAGCCAAGATGTACACATTTCCTTATCACATAAACAGAGTGGAGAGGTAGGCGGTGTAGATTAGTGCTGATTCCATGAACATGAAGGACCTAATTTCCTCCATTCTCAACATGTGGCTTCTACGTTACGGTCCAGATAGCTACTTAAGTTCCAGCCATCATGTCTATATTCTAATCAGCAGAAAGGAGGAAAGACAATCCCGCCTCTTCAAACGATACTTCCTAGAAGTTATACACACCATTCCTGCTTACAACCCATGGGCCAGAACTTACTTTATTCTCAGGGCCTGTATGTCCAATAAGTGACCATAATATCAAGAAAGAAGTATACAATAGATGTTGGAGGACAAATATTCTCTCCTCTGCTTCTACCTTCCCGACTAAATAAAAGATTTCCCCAGCTGGGGAAGCAGAAAGTTTAAAAAAAAAAAAAAAAAAAGGTAAGTAGATGCTGCCTAGAACACTTCAAGGAAGGACCTGCTCCCAACCTGCAAGGAGTACTTCCAGTTGTCAGCTCCATCGGGGTCTACTTCAGCTACAGAAAGAAGCCTTGCCCAAGGTCATGCCCTTTCCAACAGCTGATTGCACAAGGCTGGAGTGGAAAGGCTCTGCCATTATGGCCCACCGTGGGACATATGGATTGCAATATTCACTCCAGAGCTTCTGTGCAGGTTATTCAAAGCTTTCTTGTACCCATGGGGTGCCTGGGTGGCTCAGTCAATTAAGCATCCAACTCTTGGTTTCAGCTCAGGTGGTAAACTCAGGGTCATGAGATCCAGCCCCACATCAGGCTCCAGGTTCAGTGCAGCATCTGCCTGAGATTCCCTCTCTCTCTTTCTCCCTCACCCTCCCGCACTGCCACTCCCCCTGCTCATGCTCGCTCTCTCTAATATAAGTAAATCTTAAAAAAAAAAAAAAAAGCTTTCTTAAACTGTATTAAAATTTGACTTCTTTCCATATCTTCTATGTTCTGTCCCAGTGTCTGCTTCCCAAGAACCCTACCTGTGATAACTGACAGCAGGACTGGCTGGAGAAAGCAGGCAATAAGATGCAATCTGGGAGATGGATTATGGACCACCTGGCTGGTAGTAGATGAAACACAGGCAGTGCCAGCACAGCGTGATGGTCTAACTGAGGTGCTAATACGAGATGAATAGAACACTAGAGGTGTGACATATCAGGAATTTGAGACATATAGTAAAAGTAACTGATAAGGACAACAGAATTAGATGACTATTGCTAAGCTCCATTGTTTACAAAAAAACAATGAACAGTTGAGGGTAGGTAATAGGCAACTGCAAGTGAGGAGAGAGCCCCTGTTTGTTGCACACAAAAAAGCTCTCATTAGCAGGGAAAGAGTGGAGAAAGACAAGTAATAAGACCAGACTTTAGAGGGCTTAAAGGATGGTTAATGATGAAAAAATAGCAGGTTTGTTGTGGCAAGGTCAGGGTCATGATTGAGAAAATCTAGCATTCCAACACACGGAGGAGACATCTGCGTGGTGGTCCTGGAGATTTTCATTCCTCAGGCTCCTCAGATGCCTGCAGTGTGGGCTCACTCCTCTCTACTAAGATCTATCCTTTCCTGTGCTAGAAGACTTTGCGGAGGCTTCTAACTGGAAGGCAACATGTTCCCCTCTCCCCCAGCAGACGCCGCCCACCACACACACACACACACACACACACTCACACGCCTTCTGCCACTAGGCCTATAATTAGGGCTGAATCATAGCATAACCTAGTTGGGAGGAACTGTGTCTAATAATGGAGGTAAAGGCCTAGCCAGCATGTACCACCAGTAGCTTGATGGGTAGGCCTGGGACTGGATTCAGAGAGGCCTTAGTCAAG